CAGGGTTGATGAACTCATTTGCAAAAAGGGCGAAAATAGAGCTTAAATTTTAGCAAAATTTGCTAAGTGGTTTTCCCAACTAATTTCTCGACGTCAGAAACTGTAAGGAATTTTGATTGGTAATGTGAAGTTTTATGCCGAGCTCCTCAGGCGTCAATTTTGTCCTCTATTCTGTTTAACGCTGTTTTTGTGCTGTGCACTGAGTCCATAGGCTTATAGAGATTTTGGGCTTTTTTCTCATCTTTCTACGCTTCTCACCGTTTCGAAAACTCGATTCAAAATTACAGGAACCTTTTGTCAATTTTATTCATGGTGTCGTTTTCTCTCTCGAATAGACAATTCTGGCAAAAAGTGAAAATATTTCATCCAACTATAGATTTCTGCAAGCGTAAAAAGTTGTGGATGACATGAATCTATTTTAGCTCATAAATGTCGAAATATGAGCAATTTTTTCCAAAAATTCGGAACCGTTAGCTACTTCCATGCATACATAAAAAATCCTTATTTTCTCTCTTCCTGCTTGCGAAAAAAAACTGATGGTAAATCGACTACTACATAATTGCAAATCCGCAGATATTTTTCCTTTATGAGTTAGAATTGGTAGAACTTTTTGATCAGAATCGGGTCAGTTTACCGACTTCATAATTGGGATCAAGTAGGCCATATCGTTGTAACTGGAAATTTGCTGCTTATTTACATTATCAACGTGGCAATCTTTGCAGTCTTTTCTGTGGGAGACTTTCGAGAATGCCGAGAACGTTTGCCAGGGGAACGAAGGACATTTGACGTCCATTCACAGTTCTGATGAGGAGATTTTTGTAGCCAGTGAGTTCATTTTTACATGCCAGTCTTTATCTTGATCGACGATATTGTGGAAAGGAATGTCCTTACATTTAGCGCTATCCATGTCGGGCAACACATACACTGACTCATCCGATCTAACTTGGATAGGTTTGAAACAATTGAATTACCCGAGTAGCAAAGATTGGACATGGACTGATGGAACTAAGGTTGACTATCTAGCCTGGGCCCCAACTCAACCAGACAACGCTGGTGGAGTGGAACACTGCGTTCAGGTAAGGTTACCATTTACCATATATATAATTTACGATCCATCGTTTTTTCCAATTTCCCAGTCAAAACTGTGGGGCGCTTGTTGCTTTAGTACTCATATGGTTAGATACTTCTGCATTTTCTAAGTTGTGTAACCAGGAAGCGTCGTAAGTGCTAAGCGCCAGCGCGTGACAACGCCGTTCCAAAGCCATGTCAACGTCGAACGATTAGTTCGCCTGGGTTCCGCCATCGTGCCAGCTCAATACACGCTGACACGGCACTGGAACGACACTAAGCCAGCACTGGCACAAGAGCAACTCTATACGCTGCCAAACTGTGAAGCATCTATCAGTGCCTTTATTTTCAGCTCTACAGTGACCATTACGGAAAGGATCCAAAGAAGGACAACAATTACCAGCGATGGAATGATATAGCGTGCGGGACTAAGATGAGGGCGTTTGTGTGCAAGAAGAAGTCGATACATTGAGATGTACAATTCTGTCATATTAGAATGACGCACTATAAACCGTTAGGCGGATGATTGTATGGAGCAATGATCGTACAGGAAAAGAATCAAGCAGTCTATAGAGTGTTGATCTATGAACAATTACTTTGATTTCTTTGGTTGTATAGATAAGATGAACTAAGCAAAAGATGAAGCTGCTCTGGAGTTCGTATCTCCATTTTGGATAGGCTCAGTATTGTCTAGTATTCAGAGAAACTGTGGATGTGTGAGAGCAGCAATAAGTGACTGCAAATATTCAGAATCTTATTATCGTCGAAAACAGTGTATGCAATGGCTCACCGAATTCTCTTCTGTGTGAAACTTTTCAGAAAGTTGATAAAACAAAGGCAACCTCCAACTATTCGGCTTTCTGTTATCATTTTTGGAAAGTCCCATGGTCCTGATTTCCGATATAAACAACGAAATGTGTGACACCTCCCAGATTTCTTTTTCTGGATCCCTCTTTTGCAAGTGTGGATGCATCTGTTGCAAGTGACAATCGTCCTCCACTGTGCATTTGTCTACCGTAACTGAGAAGTTACGATAGCGCAAATAGGTCCCCAAAAAAACCTTCATTACAAGATGCACTGAGTGCAAAGTCTTTCTGTGTAGAAGCGCTACATTGAAATCCCGTTAGGCATCGGTCATACTTCGTCGCTGCGCGATTTCTGATTGCTACGATTGTTCACAGTCTTTCGTAGGCTCATGCTCTAGAAGCAAAATTTGGCATATGCGC